TACTTATGACCATGTGATATTTCAGTTTTTCTTTTTTAATAAATCTGCAAAAATGTCAAAAATTCTGTGTTTTTCTGTCAATATGGGGTGCTGTGTGTACATTAATGAGGAAAAAAATGAACTTAAATGATTTTAGCATATGGCTGCAATATAACAAAGAGTGAAACATTTAAGGGGGTCTGAATACTTTCCGTACCCACTGTACATGAGAGGGTCAGAATATTAGGAACACCTCTGAATATAATGTAGTCTAGTACAACACCACCTTTAACTATGACCTCAATAATGAACATATAATTTGAATTTATACATTTGACATTCTCACCAAAAATGGTAGAGCAGTCGTCTCCCAACAAGAAGGTTGAAGGTTCGAATCTTGGTGCCGGCAGTCCACGGTTTGAAGTGTCCTTGGGCAAGATACTGGAAACAACCCTCCCCCCCAGTTGTCCCCGATGGTTAGAGCCATCGGTTGAGTTGGCGCCGCAGATGGCTGCCATCGGTTCTGTACCGGAAACAAATTCCTTGTAACATACTTGCCCACTAAAGATGAATATCTTTATCCTAAACTGAAACATTTTGAGCTTCACAAACAGATGTGAAGTGCATACAGATGTACAGGGAGTCATAATGTTATGCCTGATCTGTGTACACTGTACACCCAAATATTACCATTGACACTAAATATACAAATTTTTTTAATGCTTATAAAATACAGTACTTACTCGGGTAAGTGAGAGAAGTGTCAATAACCCTAATCATTTAAATTATTGATTAATCTGTCAGTAATTTACCTGCATTCTTTAATTATTTGGTCTATAAAATGTCAAATGGTGCCTGGATGATGTCTTCACGTCTTGTTCAGCCCAAGTCCAAGATATTTTTATTATCCCAGAAGACAGAAAAAAACATGTGGAACCAGAAAATAACTTGTTTAATAAAAAATAATAATAAAAACATTTGTGGATTTGTTTTTTTTTTTGTTAATCCATTAATAAACTGATCTCTTCAGTTCTAAACCATAACTATAAAACAAAATGTTGCAACATTTGAGTAAATATAATCTTTCATCTTAATTTGTCAATGAGTAAAAGGTTGAAATACAAATCAGCAAATTCCAGTTAACGCTATGAAATTCCTGACGTTCTAAACGAGTCCTTTTGAAACCTGCCTTCTGCACTGGTTTTCCAGCCGGTGGCTGGTTGGACATGCTGGTTATTACACTTTAAACAAGTACTCTTGAATTAACAAAGGCGGATTTTTACAGCACTTAATATGACACTTTGGACAAACTGACTGACACTTGCTCCTTGTTTCCTTCCTACAGCGGGACGAGGGGCCGTAAGCGTGAGCTCAGCCCTCCTGCGGTGCGAATGCGGGGAGGACAGAAATCAGAGGAGCCCCCTCCTAAGAGAGTCAAGCGCTAAACCCTCCAACTGTGGCGGACCTTTTGCCCCATCAGTGGTGTTTTTTGTTTTTCTGCAGTCCATATTCAAGTCAGTTTTGTTACGGGTCAGAGCGCCTTGACACTCGGTTTGCACGTAAAGCTGTTCCTGCTTCATTTAATGTAGATATTGAAAAGCTCTGGATAGTATTAGATACTTCTCTCATGGTGGAGCGTAAAGTTGAGTAGGAATCCCTCCAAATACCTTCTGCTACACTGTGCCCATATGGTTTGGATCAGACTTCATCAACCCTCAGCTTACTCAGTAATGGCCAGTGAACCAGAGCTTCTCAGGCCAATCACAGGACTAATGTGCAGCCGAGTCGAGCTTTGAGATAAAGAGGGTGAGCTGAAATTACTGGTCATTCGGTCAGAGGCCAGATGTGACACCGACATCACGCGTTACCTCTGAGTTGTACATAGTTTAATGATTGAATATTCATTCTGTGAATGAACGGCCTTTCCCTCCCACATTTTTTTATGTTTTTGTTTTTATATGTGATACTCAGAAGGTAAGGGAAGTTTTCTCTCTAGTGAAATAACAGCAGTATTAGTCACGTGGAGAAGTTACTAAAAACTGAATTTTCTTCACGTATTTGTAACGGCACTCGCTGCAGACAGTACAGTTTCTTATGGCAGTAATCTTTGTACTGAGTTAACTGTGGATCACACAGTGTTGCTGTTGGATACTCTTCCTTCTTTCATTGTTTCAAAAGCAAAAATAAACCACTTCAGTTTCTTACTTGTGGCTTACAATTATCATTTCTAATTTAGCATTTATTCTGTAAACAAGGCATTTCTCTCCACTTTTAAATTCATTCTAGCTCTATAATCAAATCAAAGCACAGAAAATCGGTCTGTTTTCTTAAACATTTTGACAACTTGCTGTTAATTCATATTAAACTTAATATCTACATCCAGAATATACTCACATTCTAGTTTTTGTCGTTTCCTTTTTGGGAGAAGCCAGCTGTACATCTGTTAAAGGAAAACCAAACAGCTGCTTCTGGAAGCTGAAGCATTTGGTTATGAAAAGGTATTGCACACAACAGAGTTTAGATTTGTATTATCGCTGTTATTACGTCTCCTCTGTTTCCTAAATGGGTGTTCTGTCTGTAATATGTAAATGGCCACAGACATTAACCAGGGAATGGGAGAGGACATTCCTGCCTGCTAATGGGGGATAAATCTGACAAACTCAGAATAACATGTTCCATCACTTACATGTTAGGAGGCTTTAATCACTGCGCCTGAATTTACAGGATCCAAAAAGTAGGGCGAGAGATTACGGAGAGCCCGAGTTCTCTGGTTGAAGGTTTCAATCCTTTTTTTTTTTTTTGATAAACTTAGTTCCTTAAAGGTGTACCTCTCAAGTATTTCCTGGTGCTGCAATCCAAACCTTATAATATTAGCCCAATAAGTCTCATTTAAAGGTTTGGATCAGCTTTCGTTCACCCACCAGGTCTGGCAGAGAAACAGCGCTGCTTTCACTCACTGATGCCATTGGAGTGACTTGACACGTCATTTTACTTTAGTCATTTACAGTGTGCTCCAGATCATTTTTGAATTTGCCAACAGGTTTCTGCTGCTGAGGCACGGTAGACAAATCTATAGGCAACAGCTTTTATGTATGAGAGGGAGGACTGCTTAGTTATTGCTTAGTTGGCTGTTTAGTTTTCAGCTCAGCAGGTAAAATACTGCTTTTAGGAGTTTTCAGTTGTACTGGGAGGTTGTTTTTTTTTTTTCCAAGTGACAATTGTGCCCTGTCTGCTCATTTGTACTAATTTACTAAAACATGATGTGTTGAACAAGTCAAAGTTTCCTGCTACACTGTGCTTGTAACAATTTCTGTTCCACGTTTATTCATCTAAAGCTTTTTGACTCTCTTGCCCTCATCAGGATGGTGTCTGAATCATGACATGTAGTTTCAGAAATGCAGTATTTAATTCTAGTAGATATCATAAATGGCAAACATACTGTATTACAACCAACTTTTGGTTAAAATGTTTTTTAACAAAGACAGTGCTAACTTGTTCACTCTTTTTTTAATTCAGCAACCTTTCGACTCAGAAATGAGTTGGGACACTCCATAAACAAAGGGATGTTATTATAGAGGTAATATACTGTTAGTATATTAAAGTTACTTTTAAAATGAAGCTGAACAAGAACAGTGTTTGCTGCTTTGTACTTTAAATATGACATTTGTTGTTCAGTGAGTAAATGTACTTACCGACATCCCACCACTGATGAAAACCCACGTTCTCTGGCATCATCACTGTAAACTGACAGAAATCAGAGGAATTAATCTCCAACTGGACCCAGATCTCAGTTTATTTGGAGAGTTTACAAATATTAGCATATATCTAAAAAAAAAAAAAACTAAAAATATAGCTTTATAGCAGTGACAAGGAAGTCCAACCCCCCTCTCTGCACAACTAGATGGTTCTCTGAAACGATCCGCTGGGTGTCTTAGAAGGGGATATAACTCCTTGAAAGATTTGCACCTGCCATATTTGTATTACACAGACTCATTACCTATTTTGATATTAGAACTGTTGTAAAAATGTGACCATCTTTGTCCAACTGTAACCTCTTTGTCGCTGTCTCTAGAGCTTCGTGAAACTTTAGTCACATGACTCACAAACTGTAGAACAGGAATCCGAAAATGGATGTAACAGGGCCAGAAAATGTGAAGTGGATAAAGCATGGAGCAAATTAAATGTACCTTTTAACACCACACAGAATCCTATTTAATACCTGTTTGACATTCATTTTGGCAAAACTATGATTTTCAGTTTTCCTATTAGCACCAATTAAATGTGATAAATTAAGTTTTTGCTAAGCCCTTCACTTGTCCTTTTGAGAGACGGTGAGTTGGCTGATGTTTCTGACAAACTCACTAAAAAGGATACAGCCTCCTGCAGCACAACACACTTATGCAGCAGTTCCACTTTTAGCGTAAGTGAATGAGTCTTCAAACAGCCTGCAATCAGACACAAACAATGACAAGACTTTTCTAGACCTCAAGATTTGAATTGTATCAGTGCACCACCCTCACTTCAGCATTTGCATGTAGCCGGTATCATTTTTAACTGTGATACAAGACACCAACCACATCGAGTGCCTGTAACCTCCTGACATCTCCTTCCTTCCTCTGAAGCAAGTCTGCTGTTGAGTGGCGATGCAGCTGATCCAGCAGAGAGCTGTGGAAAGATGGTGGTTTCACACAGCTGTCAACTGGAATAGAGGTAACTGCTGGATTTGAGCAGTGGGGACCCTTGCAGACTGTTGCAGGGATAAGGGGTCTCACTCACCCCTGCTGCTGCCTCTGTGCACTGGGAGTGGTCTTTCCTCTACTGGGGATTTAGCCAGGCCGACTGGCACTGAATACAACACTCAACCATTCAGCCAGGCCTCTCACACGACATAAAAGTTAACAGGTGTTTAATGTCAAAAATGTTTCTTGCTAGAGTCACAGAAATAGTCAGTGACAGGCAGCAGGGAGGGGTGGTAACTTAACGTTTTTTCTTTTGCAGTATTGAAATAGTTCTGCAGTTGAGTCGAGATTTGGATCGCCTCCTGTCATCTGAAGCTGCAACAAACACACACACCAGAGCGCAGGAATATTTATATATGTGTTTACTGACTAACATATTGGGGTTGTGTCTGTTTTCAAACTGGATTCCTCTACAACATTTATGTGAATAAATTAAAGCAACAATCAAAGTTCAGAAAAAACATCTTTAGTTTGTTTAAAAAATATAACAGTCAAAATAATAATTACAGCCCTGCATCTTATTCTAGGCTTTTAGCGCCTGTTAGAGTTAAGCCTGTTACCTGCATAGATCCAAAATGCAGAGCTCGTCTACTTGAGGCAGAGAAGCAGCTGCAGTCTGAGACCCCCACTTCACCGTCTGAAAAGAAAAGGACCAGAATATCTCAAGAATTTCTAAATGGTCCTTGAAGTTTTCATATATCAACTCACATATTCAGAAGTGGTGTTTTACATGTGATGTGAAACCAGTGCAAAAGCTCTGCTGCTTTGAAGGACATCTTTATTTAGGCATGAGCGGAGGAGAAAGGAGCCGCTCACAGAAAGGCCCTTCAGACCCGAGACGCCTTTCACGATGTGCTTGAGCTGCACACATTATCTGTTGCGTGCCAGAGGCGGCTGAGAGCTCGTTTGTCAGCCGGGCAGAGCCGAAAATAAACTATAAATCACGTCTGCACTATCTACACACATTAATTGGACTGTAACAGCGGGCTAACCCCCACTTCTGCTCCTGCATCTGCACCAGTGTAGCCATTGCTGAGATGCTTTGAATTTCTTCCAAGAGACGGAGGAACTTCTGTCCTCTTGTCTCTTGCTTCCATTTACTGTATTAAGTGTTCTGTCCCAAGGGCTCTTCCATTTAGTGCTCCATCGCATGCAAGGATCATTTTTCTTTGGCAAAGAGAGTTGTATCGTAACATAGGCGACTAAAAGCATACTTAGAGCTGGCACTAACTCCTCCGTCCCTTCCCTTTCCTCCCACTTTCACTGTTGATTAGAGGCGCTATCATGCTGGATGTGATATTTGGTGAGAAATCTAAAGGGCATTTTGGGAGCATTTATTGCAAATGACTCTTGGCAGTGCCCTCTCATGTATTGCTCCATCTGAACACAATTTGGCAGCTATTCACACATATGAAGAGGAGAGTGAGGGTTGGTTGGGGGAGGTGATTATGGCATTGTGGTATTTCTTTATACCAAAACCTGTCATAAGCACACACTGGAGAGGAGGACAAACAGAGAGGTTACCCCCGGTAACTGGCACGTTGTGACATCAGGTGGGATTTCTGATTAAAACATGAGAGGAAAGTTACAAGAAGAGGCAGGGAAAAAGCCTAATGTGCCATTTAAAGTTTATGTCTTTACTGGAAAGGTGGTTGGGGTTTCACTGTGGTGTCGCCCTGGAGGAGAGTGGACAAATAGTTGGGGGGGGATATTAGGGGATCGAGTCAATGTAGGTAAAAAAAAAAAGAAGTGCAAACATACCTTTTCCCAGCATGACTATTATGTAGTGAAGGTCGTTTTTTTTTCCAAATCACGTTTTTCTGAAAGCAGGTTCTCATCCTCACCAGCAGAGGGACCCCTCCTGTCCCAAAACAGCAAATCAGTTTCAGCTTCATGTTCACTAGAAACAGACACAGCAGTGAATTGATTTCATAAGCAATCAGTCACTGTAAATTATTTATCAAGAAACAAATACCAGAAAATTCACTGATTTCAGCTTCTTAGACATGAGGATTTGAATCTTTTCTTTGTTTTATATCTTTGTCAACTCAATATCTTTGGGTGTTGAACTGATGGTCCAACAAAAGAAGCAACCTAGAGATGTCACCTGAGGCTCAGGGAACAAAATGAGTGTTTTTCAGCATTTTCTGGACAAAAAAAAAAAAAAAGATCAGTATATCAAAAGATAGTTTCAAAGGTGTGTCCTGTGCCTATATGAGCGTTCTAAGGCTTTTCTTGTTGTACTTGTTCTTCCTGTCCACACTGGCCATTAGGACATCTCTTCTAAATGTGTTTTCATTTTCAGAAACAGAAGACACAATCCACAATCTTTGTTCTGTTTAAAATTATATCCCCAAATTTAACTGAGGTTCATCTGTGTCAAACAAATCAAAAAATATTCCTCTTTCCTCCTCCCTCGACCATTACTGTCATAACATTCATCACAATAAAAGTGTAACACATGCACACACCACCAAAGTCTCCAGCAGTGGTGAGAGGTACTGAAAAATGTACAATTTTGATGTACTTTACTTGAGTATTTCCATTTTAGTTGGTGGTCAGGCTACAGATTGAGATGTTACATAAAAAATAATGTGTGATCAGTTGATAAAATATGAAGCATCATCATAAAGTAAAGTACCAACAGTATATAAAGTAGTTAAATGAGCTCCATCTCGACCAACTCTACCATTGGCTGACTGTGGTGTTTATACACAACAAGTACTTGGTTACTTTATGTAAAATATGTTGCTAATATTTACATACTTCAATACAAATTTGAATGCAGGACTTTTACTTGTAACAGAGTATTTTTACTCTGTGGTACTGCTACTTTTACTTAAGTAAACAGCCTGAGTACCACTAAAATACTCTGTTATAAGTAAAAGTCCTGCATTCAAAACGTTACTCAAGTAAAAATACAAAAGTATTAGCATCAAAACATACTTAAAGTAACAAAAGTACAAGTACTCCTTATGCAAAATGACACATTTCACAATGTATGAATTATTATTGATTCATTATTGTGTTCATCATTTAATGCTGCAGCTGCTACAGATGGAGCTAAAGTTAACTATACTTATGGTTTAAAGTACCTTACATACTGCTGGTTAGCTTGTGAATTCCCTCCTGAGGATCAATAAAGTCTTATGATTATACTGTATTTATTATCAAATGTACTGTGGTAAAAATATCTGGCTGTAAAATGTAGTGAAGCCAAAATATGCAAGTAGCAGAGAATGAAAATATTCAAGTAACGTGCAGAAACCTCCATATTGTAGTTAAATGTTCTTAGTTACTGTTTAAGTAAGTGGTTATTTGAATACTTCACCCAACGTGGTCTGCAGTGACTTACTGCAACTTAAATATGACAGAGTCTGCTTAACCTGGACTTAAAATGTTAAAGACTTCATAGCATCCATTCATTGATTCTTGTCTAAATCACAGCATGTGTGAAATATTGATTCTTCATTTATTTCTTTTATTTAAATGAGCTTATATAATGACAGTTAACTAGTTAAATACATTTTCAGATGCTGGTGTGGTCAAGTGTGAATCACAACAAAGCAGCTGTGTTTTAATGCCCTGCAGTTGTGTGAATGAAAACCAAGCTGCTCACGGTGCTGCTGTTTACATTTCCTGCCAATTCCAGCTACTTACTGCTTATTACTCTTCCTCACAGTGTGGTTACCAAAACAGGGTGCAACCCGTGCAGCTCTGCTTGACATCACATTGATAGGCATGCACTGACTCACTTTCTGGAGAAGTGGCAGACTCTTGTATTTATTTTCCATTTTTCCCATGTGCATGGGTCAGTTAGATCGGTTTAGGGGAAAAAAAAAGCTAAATAAATCCTTCAAGGCCACAAAGAAAAATACTTATTTTTCTACTCTAGGCTACAGTACAAACTGGGATGCACCTCTTGTGGCCTTGGGTGGAATGAACAGTTTCTAAAAGAACAAGAGCAGGGTGTGTGAAACTATCCAGACGGTGTCAGTGGTTTGTGCGCTTCCCTTCTCGAGTTGTGGTTTCATTGCTTGCGGTGATGCAGATTTCCATCCCCAAGGTCACATCCAGCCCTGAGACGATGCCACATAATTTCATTCAGCAACATTCAATTCATTAGGGCAGTTAAACCGAATCACAGAGTTTAATTTACCGTAGCTGATTATAAGAACCGCCTGTTGCTGAAAGGAAACGCTGCACCCGGATGCTGCTGTTCACCGAGTTTGTAGCTGAATATTTTAATCGAGTTCAGGTCTAACGCCGTGTCCGTACTACTGAGCTGACCCCAAAGGCACAAGATGTCAAAAAGTCCAGATCTTTTCAGTGGCCACTAGATGGTATAATATATGCACGCAACGGGTCTACGCAAGGTGACAGCAGCACAGATCGATTCCGCTCCCAAATCAACTGGGTGATTATTATGACGGGGTCGTGTTTTATTTTCTTCATTATTCACGAAGAGTTGGCTGCGCCCGGTGTTTTCTGGACGATAACATAAAGATGGAGGGGCATGAAGGAGAGAATTCGGCTTTTACTTCCAAGTTAAATGCTTAAATCGCACAGTGATTTACTTCAAAATGTCCTTAAACATTTACGAAAAATGTCCAAATGGCCTCTGCGACAGAATCATATTGAGGAAGTCTCAGAGATTGATTCATTTATATTTATTTTCATTATTCTTCCTAAAATACTCAGCACTGCGCGCAGGAGTCTGAAGGTTTGGATTCAGAAGATCCACGTCCAGAAAATACACAAAGACCTAAAGTAACGGAAATTAAATAACCAGATAAAAACTCGTTTTAGCAGCTGATCTGCTAGTCATTCATCTTCTGCACTGGAGCTTTGATTTGTCTGAATGTTCACATCTGCCAGTATAACAATAATAATAATAATAATAATAATAATAAACTAAACTCCGAGGCCAATTTAATATGTACAGACTAATAGGCAGATTCATCCGTTTCATACTTCTAATAAAAAAGTTAAATAATAATTCTAAGACTTGAACTCTGTTTGCAAGGCTGGTTAAATTGTGCTAATGTCGATAACTAACAACGCCAGAATATCATTTCAATTAAAAAAGTAAAGGTGAGACTAGGAAGTTGTATTGTGAGGATGTGCACGACTCAATCTTCAGACCTTTTTATACTGGCTATAAAACAAATACAGAAATTATTTATCCCATCTTTGCATTTTGTAAGTTTAATAAAATAGATCTACTTTTACTGTAAGCAGGGGAAATTGGTGTTTTACAAAATATTATATTATTACTAATTCTAGTTGCATTGTTTGGGAGCAGCAGAAAAGCTGCAGATCCTGGTCTGACGACCGATGGCAGAGGTCACGGGGCACAGGAGGACAGATGTTTATTCACTTTAATCCGGACAGAGCTGTGTCCCACACTTCATACTAAATAACCTGCTAATAATGTGCATGCTTGTCATTTCTGTGAGGTCTTCAGCTACATGGGCCCAGGTCAGATACAAGAAAACTAAATCCTTTGACGCTGTTAAAAATGAGATTTATCTTTTATATAATCAGTTTTAAGAATATACATGTTTTGATAATAGTACTGAGATTTTCTTTCTGTTTTCTGTGTCGCCTATTTCAGAAAATCCGGGCGTCGGTGTTTATTGGGCGTTGTGCACGATGACTGATACTAAAACAAATATGTAAGTAGCCTGTCACCCAGAACCTGCTGTTGGAATTTTATTTTTATTTTTTTTTTTGCGCTGTATAGATTCCACATTAGGTCTGTTTACTTGTTTTAACTCCTCTTTATGCAACGGTTTGCGCACAGACTGCGCCCTACCTGATCATGGTGAATCATGGCGTAGGCTGCCAAGTAGACTGCTTTAAGGTTTTTAAAAATGTAGAGAGGATGAACTGCTACGAGCTGACACACGATGGTCATGGTCAGAAATCTTACCAAAAAAAAAAAACTGTGACATTACACGTGGATGACGAAAGGTTCATTTTATAAGATGACATCCTATGGATTTATTGTCCTGGTGCTGCATTCAAGTGATGCAGAGAAAGTGAGAGACTTTCCTGTTTTCAGACTTTCCTGTTTGGTGTTGCTGCTGAAATCTGTTTTCTTGTGATTTCAGACTTTAATGTGGGGGAACTTGGTTGTTCTGACTGCAGGTATTCTGAACACTAGGAACCCGGAAAATTAAGCACTTTAGCTGAATGAATCCTGAATTCTTTTGAAATCTAACAAACAACTAGCAAAGTTGTCATCACAAGCCATGTAGTTGCAGATTGTTCTCCTGTTCTGGATGAAGCTGACAGGACTTTGAGTTGGTGCAACCTGCCTACCGTGAAAAGCAAAAACCAAACTTCAACTTTTCTCCACTCGGTTGAAAGCAGCGTGATGTCGTTTACAGTGGCCAATCGTGCAACGGCTTTCCTCCTCTCCGGGCCAATAGGAGGCGACGAGGAGTGCCTGTCAGTCACAGGTGAGGGTGGATGGTAAAAAAAATGGGTGAAAAGGGCCGGAGACGGGAGCGAGCCCGCGCTGATGGCAGAGCTATGCGGAGGAGTATCATCGTGTATGCGGATGTAGCAGAAACTTTCCACGGCTTCTCCCGCGGGGATGTGACCAGGAACCAACACTGGAGGAAGAAGGTTCAGCGACAGCAGCGCTCCACGGAGGGAGTAGCCTAAAATGTGGATGAAGTGACATTTAACCGGGCCGGTTAATTACTGTACTCGAAGACCGAGCAAACTCCGCTTTTTTCTGAACATGGCCGTTCGTGGCACCTCGCTGATGCCGTTCTCAATCCAAGCCATCCTGAACAAAAAGGATGACAGCCGACACTTGCCAGCTTTGGACATGTGCTTCTCCAACACGGCCTGCTGGAAAATATTTGGGGAGATGGACGGCGGATCTCGGAGAGATGACGGGGAAGCTTGTGAGCCGACGGACCAGAAAAGCTACGACTCTGACTCGGGACTCAGCGACGACAACGACAGCAAAACTGCGGCCGTGTGCAAGTCGGAGAAGGACGGAGATCCTGCGTCGGATGTGCCAGAGGAAAGTCTACAGGAGGAGACGGACCACGAGTCCGCAGCGGCGGAGAATGCAAAGAGTGACAGTGAGCCCAATAATGCTACGGGTAAGTAGGGCAGGAGGAGCACAAAGCAAACAAAGGAGGCTACACGGCGCAAAAGTTTAAAGTACGACTCTGATTTGTGAAATGACTTGACTTCTGGCTTTAAGTCTGACTTTAAGAGCCGTGTGTTATTTTAAATGCCGATGTTAATGAGCGCAGTGCCGTGGTTGTATTATTCCAGGCTATCAAGTGGATTTGAAACACTTCTCTACATCCTGATAACGTTTATGCATGAGCTGTCCTAATTTTACGCACGATCGTTAATGGACACACTGGCTCATGTTAAACTTGGCCACTATACCACTGATGTTTCTGGGCATTGATTGGCGTCATAATGACTGTAAGCTAAATGATGCTACACTGCGTGTTGCAAAGTGCCAGGAACACAGTTTATTCAAGATGAAGATTTGCCACAAACTCCAGCTCGTCTGCACCGGTTATTCAATAGAGAAGACAATTTTAACATCTTATTTGAAAACGACAGCGACTTAAGAAAATCTAAACGCAGTTCATTTATATTTCCGAGCTAAAACGGATAATGAAAGCACCTTCCTGTGTATGTGTGCACCATCTTTTCAATTATTTATATTCGTTACTTAGCTTGCTTCAGCGATTCACATTCCCAAGCATCCATCACCTCACCAGCAGAAGTGTTTTTTAAATGTCAGATAAATGAATTCACTTGCATGATCCATCTGCGTCTTCCCCTCCCAGACTCCAGCACCCTGGACGAGAAAACCCTGGACCAGCCCAAACAGCGGAAAAAGCGCTCCCGAGCCGCCTTCTCTCATGCGCAGGTCTTCGAGCTGGAGCGCCGATTCAACCACCAGCGGTACCTATCCGGGCCGGAGCGGGCGGACCTGGCGGCCTCCCTGAAGCTCACAGAGACTCAAGTCAAGATCTGGTTCCAGCACCGCCGGTACAAAACAAAACGCCCCCGCCGACCTTTTGGCGTCGACCCCGGCGGCCAAGAAGGTGGCAGTGAAAGTTTTGGTGCGGGACGACCAGAGACAGTACAGCCCAGGAGAGATCCTGCGGCCTCCGCTGCTCTCCCTGCAGCCGTCCTACTATTACCCCTATGCCTACTGCCTCCCTGCATGGACACTCTCTGCATGTGCCGGGAATCAGTGAGGACTCGATGACTGTATTTATTTGTTTTTGGTTTTTTTTGCTCCCAGGAAATCCAACCAAATATACTTTTTCTGACAAGAGGAGGAGACATGACGGGACTTTTATTCTGCCTCATCGAGTTGTACAGGCCAGACCGAGGGTTCCCAACCTAAATATGTTTCCCCCTCACTCTTAAACGACCCTTTCTTTCATTTAGTAAAAGTCTGTCCCGAGGAACCCTTTTCTAATGATTTAGGCTCTAAAATCATACCTGCCTGTACTGTAGGTGAGCAGGGAGACTGGATCTCTTGATAAAACGTCAGCATAATAAACTCCCAGGAGTCACAAAATAATAAAGTATTTTCTCTCTTTGCTTGGGAGCTCCTCAAGGACCCTTGAAGACCCCGGACCCTACTTTGGGACCCAGAGGCCTAAACACATTATTGGTTTCTATTTGACATGCGCCTTCCTACCTCTGCAGTGATTGGAAATAGGCATATTCCATTTACTTTTCAAATAACTGTCTCTGTTACAGGCTGTGTTTTTTTTTCTTGCTGTGTTTGTAAAGGTGGGATATTTCAGCACTTTTGATCATATCCGTTCCATTATTTCAATGTAAAACACATAGTGTGTGGTCGTACAGTGTGTGTCGGCCTGAGACGAGGCGGTTTGTTGTGTTGTTGGCCTGAACGTGAACGTGTGGCAGGAAGCAGGCTAAAACAGACCAACTTCTAAATGAAATGTACATGTGTTATTTGTGTTGAATGACTGTTTAGATCGGAAAAAACATTAAAACATATCAGGCATTACTTTCATTTGGCTGCAATTTTGTTTTACGAATTCTTTTTTTAAATTATACTGTAATGCTGCAGCACAAAGAAAAATATTTTAATAACACTCAGGCAAGCAAATGTTACCAATAATGATGACAATTCTGATTTCTAGATAAACTTTTAGTCAAGTCAAAGTGTTTATTTGTCATATGTACGGTACTAAAACGTGTTTCCATGCACGATGAAATTCTTACTGTGCCGTCCATATGAATGCCACACAACACAAATGAAATATAAAGTAGATAAATAAGTAACAAAATATGAGGCGCTTTAAAGCAGCAATTGAAGAGATATAATAAAAATATATAATAATATAATAAGAGAATGTATGCTACATGGGAGCTGCATGTGCAGTGGTCAACAGTGACAGTACATTTTACTTGATCATTCGGCGGATGATCGGCCAGGACACGCACACAATCATTTATAATCCTAAAACATATATGTTGACGTTAAAGTGGGAGTTTACAGATTCACGTTGATACAAAAACGCTGCAGGCTTCCCTATGCTTTTAGTCTACGTTAAAAAAAACATTTGCGCTATTTGTTAGATTGACGTGGCTTGTAAATACTTGATCTGACATTGGCAAATTGATTTAAAATGTGTTTTGAGAGACAAGCTTAATGAACCAAAATAATAACCTATTACAGCGATACTGACCATAAGCAATAACGACTTTATTATATAGGTCTACGCGCCTTTTCCTGCGCTGTGTCGCGCTGAAAGCCTAGTATTTTTGTTATAAATACAGGTTTAATTTCACTCTCCTTACCTCCACCATGATGTTAGCGGTACACACAGACCTTGTCGATGTCTTCTGGGCAGCCATTGCTTTCTTGCCACACACACCTGTCAAACAATGATAAATAGCTCTGTGATTCCCGGACAAGGCAAACTGACAGCCACGTTTAGGGCTGCATGTCAACACAAGAACAGGAGTATTCCGGGGTTAAGGAGGCTCATGTCACTGCGCCTAAACTGAGGTCAAAGACGAAAAAGAACAGTCTCATTTTGGGTTGTTTGCAGATACAAAACTGTCTTTTTTCAAGACAGGAAACACTTTTAACATGTCTGTGTAATTGTAGGGCTAATTCTGTAGTTGGAGGTTTTATTTGAGTAGTAGGCAGTGCTTCTCTTTCCACAACAGCCTGAATATTAAGTCGGGGTCAGTTGGGAGCTGGCGTACATTTACCATCCATCTCTGGCTTTTTGCATCTCCTAACAGTTATTCGGGATGCTGTATATCAGAATACATCAAAATGTCAAAAAGATTGGGTGTAGGGTATTGGGGGTGATTAGATCATCTGCAGATGAGGCAATAAAAAAACGCTCCAGGGCATGATCACATTTTATTACTTTAACATCATGGAAGTGTCGTTTACTGGGACACATCTGTGTTTCACGTCTGACAGCACCGCGCAATGCCACTGCGCTTTAGCGCACTGACACTTTTACGCAGCGACACCTTGTGGCAGAGTGTAGGGTGATCAGTGCCTCACCTTCTTTAAACCCTATATAGTAAAAACAGCCCTCTTACTCACAGCGGCGTCAATATGTCCTAATATCTGATCTATGTGATGCAGGTATCTCCAGTGGCAATGATGCTGCTCATTGGCTGCTCTGGAGCTTAAAGGACAGAGAAGGATAGCGAGGAGTGCACCGTCCCACTTCCTTTCATACCTGCATGTGGAGATATCTGATGCAGAGGGACATATCGCGGCTGGTGAAATGCAAACACTCACATTGGTGCACATGAACCCCATTCCAGCGTCTCCCTTTATCATTATTTTTGTATTGCTTAAATAGACGGTGGCTGTACAGAATATGATGACGGAGTCTGACGAGTCCCCTACATACAAGGAGCTTTACACACAACTAAACGGCTGCATTTTTAACGTTGTTCAACAGAAAGAGCCGTTTTCTAGTCACCTCTAGTTTTAATATTTTTTTGGTGTCTAAGGAACAAAGATGCAGTTTGGGAATTTTTAAAACCTATTGTGAAAGAAAAACCCGCAATAGCAACAATTAAGAGTTTACCCCACAGAAATCCACACCAGCCATGTATCTTAGTTGATATCTTTTCTGATATTTGAGTTTTCTTGTTCAAATTATTATGGTTTTTTCGTAAACAAGGTGTAAATAAGAACATTTCAGCCACTTGCTCTTGACTTTTGTCCTTACTTTCATTTGCAGAGAGACTCTCCAGTTGTTCTAAAACGAGTTACAGTGTCGATGATAGAAAATATGCATTATTTGACATATTACAGGGAACCAGGCAGCATTATGCTCGATTTCAGGCAAATTATGGGTCTAATCATGGTCCAAATCTGTGGTTTAATATGAACAACCGCTGCTTATTGTCGGTTCCTCGTTGGCTTGTAATAAGTTGTATTTGTGTTTTTTTGTGGCAGAGAAACCACAAATAGACACAGCCTAACAGCGGGAAGCTGAATGGATTTATATATTGGATTATATATAATTATATATCATGGATTATATATGTGTATATATATCATGGATTTATATTAATTTACGGGCTACACTACAAAAATATCCACTTGACAAATGGTAAAATATTTACATTGTATTTCCCCCTAAATATGGAAGATAGTTGGTTTTAATAGGCTACAATTCAGTTTGTCCAGAGATGAAACTATAAACAGCGACGCTACCTTTGTTTATAACAAATGCCACAGGTCTCTAGTCACAATATCAACGTGATGAACTTTCAGATCATTTCTTAGACATCTGAACACACAATGCTCCTCTCCGTACAGTTTCGTGTCAGCCTAATGTTTCTTCAACCTGCTGGTGTGTAATAAACCAACCCATCAAACAAGATGTGAAATTGTAAAATGCATGTCACGCACACAAGTCGGTTTTTAATGCGACTGAACAGTTTATTAACAAATATCTATTTGGGCTAAATGCTGAATAGTTCTCTACTTCTCAGTCGCCTTGTGTTCATTTACCAAACCTGCTTGATTTCCATATTTACATTTTAAGGATTAGCGCTTTGTAAATTTAAAACCCATGTAGGTCGACTGAAAGTCTGAATTCAGCGGCACTGGGCTTTTAACCTGTACTGTCTTAAATACAAATGATCACATAGAGCATATGTTATTTTTAACAAGCACAATAAATCACAAATAACGTGATTTTTCTTGTTTCGGTGCATTTTCGTGAAACAATTCCATAATGCCAGGGTCCGACACGGGCTTCCCTCCGTTCTTATTAATTCATCGATTTGTATTTAATCCATTTGACCCTACAACTTTCAAAGCCCTTGTTCCTGAAGGGATCACATGCACTCTCCATTCAGGCGATAGGGTTGCAGGCTAAATTTACACGGACTTCACTGATAAACCAGAGACAAAGCTTCTCCACTAATACTAGTCGCTGTTTTTCGCTTTGTAAAAACAATTAGGCGTCATTTTGCTTCAGATATTTCTGTCGGGATTGCGAAGCTGCCAGCCAGTCACACCTTTTTAAGCATTTTGGAGCATACTGACCTGAACTCACTGCCACCTGCCTCAAAGCTGCCCAGGTGCAAATTCCTCTTCATCCACGTAAACAGTGACGTCATGTGCCTGTGAAAAGTACAGTAAGTGTGAAAGACAAGCACTGAAATAAACTTCTACCTTCAGCTACAGCTCACATTTAAGAAAAAGGTGTATACAATGAAACCTGATGGCCTTCCTGTCCAAACCCATAGGTTGTAGATGGTGATAAATGTATTGAATGCTCCTCTCTGACAGATTCATGCTTAATAAGACCATAATTAGCCTGGGATACAAAGGTTTATCCTTTTAACTTTGTCATTTCCCCCCCACTTCCTGAATAGTTTTGCTGTATATTTCTAAAAAGTGATTTCAATGCAATGTTTCTTTAATCTGAACTCCAAAGTGCAAAATATTTAAAAGCATGCCCGATTTGATAAGTTTGTGCAGATACCTTAAACTAATCCATCCTTCACTATGAATTATAACTTTGAATTTTAACAAGTTTATATTAAGCACTTAAAAGCATTAAACTAATTGGAAATTGTTTGCTAGAGAAAAATACCCACTTAAAATGTTCTATTTTTTCATTTACCAATAATTGGCAGCAAGAGCAATCAGCTCACACAGCTGGTGAAATATTTCTAAACTGATGCTTTAAGAATAATGGAAACTTTGAGTAGTTGTACATAATGGTTTGCAGTGATTTAAGGCCAAATAAATTTTTAAAGGTGACTTTATACATTTGATAAGTTAGATAAATTTTTTTAGTCAGCGATTAAGATCTCTTTTGTGCAAAAGACCTGAGAGCCTAGACAGCCAGTGCACACTAACACATGCACACATGCCTATTAAAGCAATCACAGTTACTAGAACTAGCAGTAAAGCTACGTAATAGCTGAGATCTGCATTCAATTAGGGAATAGCCTTCAAAGTCTGACATGGTTCGTAGTGCTCCTGTGTGTTCACACATGTATGTGCAGGTGTAATTGTAACACAGTTGACTTAGAAGTATTATAAATATTTTGTAGTACAGATACAGTATCTACTACAGTCAAAGTGAACAAACTGCTGGTTTACTATGCTCTGTCAAGTGGAAGTTGGAGATAATGCACTGAGTGAATGCACATAAGTGTGTGCATGTGTGTGTTCTTTTAAATTTATGTTAAGCCATACTGGAAGTACAGTATTTGCTTCAGAAGCATTGTTAGGAAAATGTAGTATCAAAAGAACATGCACTTATTATGTAGAATGACTACAGCCTACTTTCATAATGTCATAGGCAATCAGTTATTGGGTTAGTTTATTATTACTGATCCATGATGGTAAAGCAACATTCTAATGTGTGTGACTGAGGTGGAGCTTTTTATTGACACTTTATTCTATTGCAATGCATTATATTTTATAAGCTGAGCATACGTTTTGTGTGGTATGGTAAATTCCAAATCTGCAAAGTAATTTGTAGGCTACCTATAGCTGTCAAATAAAAGTACTGGAATAGTCTGAAGTGTTGTATAGTGGAAGTCAAGTAGCAGAAAAAAAGAAAATACTCCAGTGATGTAGAGGTATCTCAAAGATACACCTAAATGTTGTTCTTGAGTAAAGCTGAGTTGCTTTAAACCTCCAACTGAATATTTATTACCTATATAACCTTTTCAGGAGCTGTTCCTCTTGTGTTTTTATAGGTTACCTACACTTTGACCTCTGTTACCATGGCAACAACAAAAGCGTCACAGGACGCAACCACACAGTGCCAGTGGTTGGGTTTCCGGTTTTGATTTTCTTCCAGTGAAGGCAAAGGGGATCATGGCGACAGTGAAAATTATTCCAAATCGCAGCCTACGGTTAGTTTTTTCGTAGCTGTTACCGCCGTTTAAAACGAAAATCAGTATCCGCAGAGGTAACGTTTGCAGTTAGTGTGAGTGGATCATGCCGCGCGGGACAGCAGCAGTGTTAGCATAGTCAAAATGGCGTCTGCTTGCCCACTCAGCGCTCGTTTAATCCATCTGTGATCAGCCCGATAGCTGGATTCCACAAACTGTAACTACTTATTAGTGTTTCGGTTTTATCCACTGATACAGTCGAAACACCTTTGAGCGTCATGTCGGACTCGGAGGAGGACAGCCAGGACAAACAGCTTAAAATTGTAGTGATTGGAGATGGTGCGTGTGGGAAGGTGAGCCAGTCACACACATAATTTACATTCACAACGTTACTGAGAAGAAGGACTTGGAGGCTTAACTTTTCTCCACCGACACCGTATCTGTTTCACTACGGTTCAGCCAGTGTCTTGCTGTTGTTTTTAACGTCCTCATCCGGATGCCGTCTTCCCAGTCACCATGGCGACAGACGCTAAAGCTAAGTTGACTATTAACCTAGCTAACAACAACATATCGCAGCGAGACAGCATAACGGGAATGTGGTCAACATGTCTGAGTAGACATTCCCTATGCATAAAATTAATTAGTGTTTGTTAGCTGCCAAACTAGCAAATCTTAACCAGTAATTATTGCGCAGCTATTAAAACCTCTGTGATGTGAGGAGTTAATGACACAGTCTGACATTATCAGAATCAGAACCAGCTTTATTGGCCAGATGTGTCGGACACACGAGGAATATGACTCTGGTACATCGGCTCTCAATGTGCATGTACATACCCCATGAAAGGGGCTAGTAAACAATAAACCAGCATAAGGCTGTGTAATATAACAACATAAGCAGTATTAACAAGCAACAGACAGTTCAAACAATGCAAAATAAGCAGCATAAACAGGCAGTAAACAACGCAGACAGACAAAGGAATGCTCATTGTGAAATGGGATAAGTAGGAATAAAAATAGAGTACTTAAAATTCGAGACCTATATGAATCTGTATAATCTGTACAAGATATATTTATAGGTAGTGCACTGAGAGTTATTGTCCAGTCATACTGTTGTTGGTTAAGTGTTCATCAGAGTGTGGCCTGGGGGAGAAGCTGTCCTTGTGCCTTGTTATTTATGGTTATTTTTATGCCCGAACACAAGCCTGATCCACCTGCAAGTCCTCCAAAACAGATGAAATGTGCATTTATATTTCATATAGTTCCCCTGAGTTTGCCCACCCTCAAACATCTTGGTTGGTAACGGTTAAGGTGAGGGAGATTACCCCAGAGTTTGAGGTGGTTGTACACCTGACAAGGGAAATTACAATATGAGACAATATGGAAGAATTGTAAACTCTAGATAATAGACTAACATTAGGGATAACATTTCTTAAAACAGCAACATAGACCTAAAATAGCAACTTAAGAGACTCAGTGTTAGCATGAATATAAATATTAGGCTTAAGAGATTGAGCGAGCATGTAATGCAAGAGTTACTCTAATTGGAAATACACAGTAATTCTGTCGTGCAAATATACAGTAGGAGGCAGAAGTGGTGACTTAAAATGGCATTTTCTCACTTTAGAGTCACTCTTAGTCAAAACCTCTTGTGCCACAATGTGCATCAGTGTGTATATAGATTGTTGCTTTCTTTTTTCTCCTATTTTCTTCCCAACTTAAATGCACATATTTTCCTATTTTTCTTGTTGACTTACAGGCAACTGTACCGGACACAAACTCGCTGTGTGTTCTAACATAGTGTAACTGGCCAGTATTAAAATCCCACTGCCTGTTTTACAGATAATGGACATCTGGAGTTTTGATTCTGCCTTAAAGACGGCATAATGGATTTAAATATGGCACAGTTCTGTTGTTCTAAACCTATTAAGTCTACCTAGGCCTTAATCCACATCATATATGTTACTGAGTGTAGTGTACCTCTTCCCAGAGGAGTGCTTTTTGTGTAGTGTTTTATAGTAACTGAGCCCATATTCCACTGTGAAGAATTATGTTGTGTGACAAAACGAGACTGCTTTAAGTTCTTATTGCTATGGAACAGACACAGACTTAGGGCTGAGGATTATTATAAAAGATACTGATTTTCAGTATTTTGTCCTATAGCCCTGCCTCTTTCTGTACTACCAAACATTTGCTAATCATATGTTTAATTAATTTTACAATAGTTTGTGTCAAATGTAATGCTTCTTTTGATTTTTTTAACTAGAAAGTTTAGCTATATGATGAATTTTCACAATCCCTACATTTGCCTTACACTTTGGGGCTGCTGCAACTGCATAAGAACTTGGGGTAATATGGTGCTGTACATTATTATGCAGAGTATGACAGCTAATAAAGGAAGGCTACAGTTAGCTAATCCTGGCTCCTGCAGCTGGGTGGGTGTTTTCCATCAGTATACCCCTGTTCTCCTGTCCAAGGACCCCCTTATGCATGCGACTCCAGAAAGAGGCCCCATTTAAGAAAAGTATGTCTGGACAGCCTGTGAGAATGTTCCCTTTTCTTTCATTTGATAGAATAAAATAACAGTGGGAAGAGAGCCATGTGTGAAGACTTTTTTTATGAGCTGTCTGAAGTGTAAACTAATGTACCTGTTGACAGCGCATCGTCTCTCTCTCTCTCTTCTAAATTTACACAAGCTGGAGCTTCCCGTTCCCTTTCAGAATCACAGGACTGAATCACTCAGTATATTCATTTTAAAGACTTGGACTAAAAAGGTCTAACTCATACATACAGCATCTACAACAGCAGAATTTTTTCCTAATCAAGCAAACAATTTTTTTGCAGCGCAACAAGGAGGTTATCATAACAATTCAGCTATACTTCTTCTTCTTCACTTTTCTCAAATCTCCTAATGAATGAGCGTGAATGTGAGGCAGGGACGTCCAGTGCTTTTCAGCTGCACATATCCTTTCGTAACCAATCTCTCCTTCCTCTGGGAGAAAGAAAATGAATGTAGCAGTAATAGTGAGACCCAATGAGAAAAATGAATGTTCTCATTCTGGAAAGTCGACATTTTCTTTTAGGGGAGGGGGTGCATAGAACACACACAACTCAGTTCCCAGTAGATACGCTACATTAATAACCTTCCTCACACTGCTGCCAGGTGTCAGCTCGTCACTGTCTGAATGACTTACCTGCTTGTCTGTTTTGGGCAAAAAAGAGCAGCCCTGCCCCCCATTTTGTGTAGGCACCACTGACTGACATCTTGAATGCCGTTTCCCCCCTTATTAATGTCAATTTGCTCAGCAAATTGCAATTGGATCAGTTTTTCTTGGACAGAATTTTTGCTTGTGGTTGGTTGCCCATTCAGAAATATCGGGAGATGTGGGAAGGCTTGTCCACCTGAGCGAGATGTTTTAAAAATATGGAGTCTCACATTTAGCCAGGCTCTTAGACTGCTGAGCATAATTTCCAAACAAGTCTGTTTTTCAACCTGAGTTATAAGCCACTCTGTTTCTCTCAATACTTGCTGTTTTTTTTTAATTTTTTTTTAATTTTTTACCTGTAGGGTAAAAAGGAGCTTTAGGTACAGGCCCAGGGATATTTTATCCCAGCATTGTTCTTTACAGTTAAGAAAAGAGTCAGCTTTGATGCCATGTTGCAAAAATGCACTGCCTCCCTCATATAAGTTGCATCACATGGACAATGTCAGCTTGCCATATTTTTCCCCTCTCTCCCAGTTTCTTGTTTCAGCAGAACTTCCCCCATTTCCCGGCAGTGGTATCACTGGTGACCCTGTGCTATTCTCTGTTGGAGTGTCAGGATTACGCCAGCTTTTACACTCACTGGTTAGTTCCAGTTGTACTGTGGAAAAAAGAGACTGCGTTGAGGGAGGGGTGCCAAGCTACTGGAATGCCAAGACAAATGGCCGACTAGGCCAACGCGAGCATGTGGAATAAATTTTTGCTGTCCAACCTTGTTATTCCTGTGTTGTCAGTGATTGTTTGGGCTACTTAAATAGCCTATTTTCTCCTTGTTGCGTCAGTCACCTCTATTAATTTTTCAGTCACTCTTGAGCCTGTGACATGCTTCGCAGACTGAGATTAAACAAGCCTGTAGGTTAATGAACTTTTAAAAGAATTAGGTGGATAAAATTTGATTCTGCACCTCTAAGCACATGTTAATCAGGACAGGCACTGGTAAAGCAGGATGACACATTCAGTAGGTTTCATTAAAACCTTACATTTGAAGGCTGGGTTAAACAAAGATTTTATATTAAAAGGTGTAGGACAAATCAGTACATTCAGACAGCCACA